CAATTGGTGGATGCAGGCCCAGTACCCTTCTTCTATCAGGGATTCTAAAATGGGGGATGGGAGGCTGAGCACAAAGGCTGGTTCCTGTAATCTCAGCTACTTGGGAGGCTGAGGCAGGAGGATAACTTGAGGCCAGGAGTTTGAGACCAGCCTGGGCAACATACCAAGACATGTTCTCTAAAAAAATTAAAGTTAGCCAGGTGTGGTGGTATAGCCCTGTAATCCCAGTTGCAGGAAGCTGAGGTGGGAGGATCACTTCAGCCTGGGAAGTCAAGGCTGTAGTAAGCTATGATTGTGTCGCTGCCCTCCAGCCTGGATGACACAATGAGACCCCATCTAATAGATGATAGATAAAATGGGCAGTGGAGGGAGGCAGAGCTAAAGAGGCTAAGCCATTCCAAAACACCTCTGTGCTAAAAGTTTGAAGTTGATGAGTTTGCCTTGTTTACAGTTTGTCTTACTCCTCAACAAAATTATACACTTTTCAACGGAGTTTCTTAGTGTCTAGTAGTCACGGTGTATATAGCACTCATAAATTATAAAGCGTGAATACAATTTCATGGTCCCCCAGAGTTATTTTATTTTTTAGAAAGTTCTATAGACAGGCAATCAAGGTAAGAAACATCTTTCATTTCTAGCCACTCAGGAGACTTATGTTCAAACATCTAACCAACCATTCTTTTTCTTTTTTCTACCTTCCTCCCTGCAACAAGTTTATACTGCGTACCTGAGTACAAAGCAGGTGCTGTGCCTGTTTCTGCTCTGGTTTGGAAGAAGAAACAACAAGTCTTCCTCACAATCAGAATGCAGAGGGTAGGTCTGTGTGGTCTCAATCTTATGCCTGACAGTATTAGTGGTGATATTATTCAGGCTATGGCTTACATGTGTGCATAAACCTTGCACTTATTTCCACGCACTGTAAATTTCCTATTTAACCATTTGCTTATCTCTACAATCTTATCCCAGAGTTTGCAATCTCTATTCTTAAGACTGGCTCTGGGTTTAAGGTACAAAGGATTTTTCCTTTCTGTCTTCTTAAATTTCTTCTGTTGCCCAGATGACTATCATATAAAAAACCATTTTGGCATGTACCAATATGAAGTGGATTTGACTGGCTCTGAGAGCACCACAGTTTGCCGGGATGTTTGCCCCCCCACTGCCTGCTTGTGGGAACCCCATCAATTCAGCATGTGAGCTTTTAGGTTGGCTACATTACCCGTTTCCATCATTACTCTCATCATTAAAAAAATAAATATATAAATAAAAAAATTTTTAAAAACCACTGTTCCTTTCTTGGATGTTCTTCTGTTTGTCTACCATCTAACTTAATGGGAGACTGTCAGAAAAATTTTCTTATTTCTAGATTTAATGGGAATATAACTAGTTAAACTGGAAGTTTTGTTATTCAATTCTCTAATTTTTCTGTGTTGTTTCACAAACATGATCACATTTATGTGCAGTTCCTCACCATAATTTCATTATTCTCTGATGAGTCTATTCAGTCTTCACGGGGAAGTCTCTGTGATAAAACACAAAGGTCTGACTTTTTTGTCTTGCTCCATTAAAATGATCCCCATCGAAAGTTATTACATCCACTGAAAATTATGTGTTTTAATTTTCTCTGGTATAAATGGGGGTATTACTACTTACCTCTCAGGATTACTGTGAAGGTTAAAGTATGTTGAGCCCTTCAGTGGGCTTGGTTAACGTTAATAATGTTAATAAATGTTAACCAAGAGGCTATAGGTAGTATCACCCCCTTCATATTCTGAACAGTATTTCTTTTTTTTTTTTTTTTTTTTTGAGATGCAGTCTCGCTCTGTCGCCCAGGCTGGAGTGCAGTGGCGGAATCTCGGCTCACTGCAAGCTCCGCCTCCCAGGTTCACGCCATTCTCCTGCCTCAGCCTCCTGAGTAGCTGGGACTACAAGCACCTGCCACCACGCCCAGAGACGGGATTTCACAGTGTCAGCCAGGATGGTCTCGATCTCTTGACCTCGTGATCCGCCCGCCTCGGCCTCCCAAAGTGCTGGGATTACAGGCGTGAGCCACCACGCCCGACCCTGAACAGTATTTCTAGGCTTACAGTTCCTCCTATTACCTACATATCAATTCTTTCTGCTAATGTTTATTAAAGAGATCCTTGTATCTTCTAGCTTCTGCACCACAATTGAGCTGTCAGAATCAAAGCAGCTGCTTGGCCCTCCTGCTGCCAAACTTTGGGAAGCATGTCCAGGCCCTGTGGTTTCCGGGTGGCACCATGAGTCCTAGGGTGGCTGTTAATCCCTCTAGCCACTCCATTCGACTGATCTGACCCAGCTGCTGAACTTTTGGAACTTTTGGAAATTCCAGTAGTGGCCAGACTGGCTTAGCTTGCAACTAGATGTGATGGCTCTTTTAAAGCAATGAGTTTATGAAGAGAAAGGATATGGACTGTAAGGTGTTTTTTCTTTTTTTTTTTTTTTTTGGCAAAGCTGCAGAACAAGAAAGTTTGTTTGTCAGGGAAAGGAGGAGGGAGGGAAAAGGGAAGTGTGGCCTTAAAAATAGAAGCCAGGAATACAAACGAAAGCATGTTTTATAAACGAACACCTCTTTTTCTGAAAACAGAACTTAGAAATGTAAAATAACTGTTCAGTTATAATTAGCAATCATACTGATAATTCTGAGGTTTTACATCGTTCAAGATTCTACCTGAAAGATTCATTTGTCTTTCCACCTGAAAGATTGCACAGATCAATCTGTGTGTGTGTACATGTGTGTGCTCAGTGTTTCTTCTAAATATTTGGAAATAATAACACACATATAATAAGGTAATACTTAATTAAAATTTTTAATTAACACTGATACCCAATTTTCCAATATTTTTTATAAAGGAGAGTACATTTTCCTTGGCGCTTGCCTCCATCAAATAGACTTTAAAAAACCGCCATAACATCAGCCAATTTCCCCCTTATTCTGATTTCCTATGGTAATGTGACTTAATGTGCATTCCATGAGCCACTTGCATCAGAATTTCTCAGGAAACTTGTTAAAATTTCAGGTTCCTGGGGCAACATTCTACATCTACTGGAGCTTACGAGTTAGCTACCCTAACATCATAGTCCCTTTCCTCTTTAGTAAGATGATCTTGACTTAAGTGGAATTAGCCATACACTTGGCCTTCTTTTCCACGTGACAAAGTTTTGACCAATCAAATAAAAGGAGATATGCTGTGTAGGAATTCCAGGAAGCCTCCTTCAAAGGGAAAGAATATGGAGTTTTCTTCTCCCGTTTCTCTTGCTGCTAGCCTGGAAGTAGACACCACGGCCAGACACAAGAAGCCATTCCAGATCATGAGGTGCCTCTGTGGACGGAAGCCAGGCACATGTGGTAGTAAAACAGAAAGAACCTGGGGTCCCTGTGGTGCCAGTAGGTCAGGTTTGGACTTATTTCCTCCAGAGGAAATAAGCTGCTAACTTATTCAAACAGTTGAAGTTATTTTAGATTGTTCTCTTATATGCAGCTGACCTAATGCCACTTGCTAATTCTCCTGATTTAAAATATATGAGGGTTGTGAAATCTGCATTTTTGATAATCACCTAGGACAATTCTTGGACACAATCAAATTTGAAAAAACTGCCATGAGATACAATATCGATATATAATTTTATAATTATATCTTAGAGACAGATCAGAGACAGGGATTGTATACATTATACCTTTACTTGTATTCTGCAGGATTTGGTACCATAACAAATAGTGGAAGATGGTCCATCAAAGTTTGCAGAATAAATAGATTGTTAAGAGAAGTCTTCTTTTCCACCCCTAATTTTTTTCTGTAAGCTACCGAGAAAATGTTTCTTAATTGTTTACAGCCTTGAGGAACACTTGGCAGATCATTTTTCTATTACTTTGAAAGGTCTAGGTATATGACTCAACCACAAAACAATGAGCAGCAGCTTTGCAGTGACAATACGGTTTCTCAAATATGGTGGCTATTTTGCCTCTGGTGTCTCCTCCAGAGCTTGCTACCAGGACAGCGTGAGTCCAGTCGGTGTACCAAGTCCTTCAATACTACTAGTCTCATGGGGAGGAAAACAAAAACCAGTCCTACACACCAAGCAATTAAGTGCTCACTGTATTGTTTCTATGGTATCTTTTTTTTTTAATATATATATATATATAAACACACACGTATATACCTATGGACAAACATATATGTATGTATGTGTATACCTGCACACACAAGACATCACTTTACAAATAAACTTCCAACTTCTCAGATATGTTTTCCAACATTATGGCAATTCATGACTGTGATAATTATGCTAATGAAATACCAGTTACTTGAATGAGAAGTTGTTTGTGGTGCTCAGAAGTAAAGGATGATACCTGTTGGTGATCTATGGGATTCTCACTATAAATTTTGGAAACAGTCACCTGAATCCTTCAGCACATTCATTATCCAACATTTCTAAAATAGGGTTAGTCAATTTGGCTGTTTGCCTGAGTTTCCAGATTCCTTATAGAGTCTGTCAGCTTACCCAAGTTGACAGACTCTGTAAGTCAATAAACTGATTGCAGAAACAAAACAAAACAAAGAAACCTAAACTCTCTAAGCTTTAGTTTTCTTTTAGGTAAAATGGGGATAATAATAGCACTTTTCATAGAATTGCAGTGAAGAATAAATGAGATAAGATATTCAAAGTTCTGGTACAGTGTCTAACAAAGTAAGTGCTCAATAAATGATAGTTATGATTTGTATTTTCTCCTTTTTGCTTTTTTAAGACGGAGTTTCACTCTTGTTTCCCAGGCTGGAGTACAATGGTGTGATCTTGGCTCACTGCAACCTCCACCTCCCAGGTTCAGGTGATTCTCCTGCCTCAGCCTCCCAAGCAGCTGGGATTACAGGCATGCACTACCACGCTTGGCTCATATTGTATTTTTTTTTTTTTTTTTAGTAGAGATGGGGTTTCACCATGTTGGTCAGTCTTGAACTCCTGACCTCAGGTGATCCACCTACCTTGGCCTCCCAAAGTGCTAGGATTACAGGTGTGAGCCACCCCGCCTGGCCTGTATTTTCTCCTTTTATTAAATGTTTCATCTTCCTTGTGGGTTTCTGTCCGGAAGATAAAACATCTGTTAAACTTCATAAAATACATTATTTTAAACCTAATCTTTTAGGATTTTAATAAATGGGAAAAATAGGATCACTTTTCTGAAAATAAGCCATTTTTAATTACTTCTTCAAACATCATCAAAATTAATAACAGAATGAAAACCCAGTGCTGCCACGTTTGTCCAGTGTTTACCAGGTCAGTTTGTTGGGGCCAGGGTTATAAAACCAAATCCATAATCAGCCTTTCATCCCCCTGGACCCCATCATGCCCACTTTCCAGTATTCCAGGTCACTCTAATTACATCATGGGAAAAGAGAAAGAAAGAATAGCAGAAGATGGTTATAGAGCCAAGTTCCATTTATAGGCTACTTGTACTTCTTCCATTAAACTTCCTCTAAGGAGATGGAGTGATAAAAAATGGGAAGCCTTGGAGTCTGTCCCTACAGATTGGTATGTACCATTAGCAAGAAATGACAAAATAAGTTTATCAACTGAGTACTTCTGAGGGATAATCTTCACTTACATTATGAATTGTTTATTTGTATTATATCAAAAAAGTTATCTTCCCACTTCTGTATTTATTTAACGACTGAGTTCAGGGTTTCTGGTTCCTCATTAGATGGCTACTTTGCATTGGCAGCAAGCAGTTTCCCAGGACCAAACCCTGGAGATGTCATAATTTCAAGACAGACCTCAAAGGATCTAAAAACCTATTGTTAAAAATGTGAGAAACCCTGAGAATACTAAAAATGTTTTGGCATAAAACAGCAGTCAAGATGTAGCAGGGTGGACATGATCGTGGGATAAATTTTGGGAAGAGCTTGTGTGATATAATTTCATTCCCTCAAAATTCTACTGGGTGGAATACAACTTTGACACTGAGAAGCAGGAAAATGTCAGCACTAGCTATAGCACCTAGTGGGAGAGTTACATCAGGGTTGTGCTGGCTGTGGTGAAGAGTAGAAAATAGAGGCAGGTCCTGGAGTTGTCCCTTCTTCTCTATTCATTCCACGAGCACTGGGTACTATGACTAAAACACAGGCAGACCCTACTGGCTTATGGCCAGCTGCTTACTCCTTAAATAACCAAGAAGGGTACACTGTCCTTTATCACCAATTCACATTACTAATGAAGACTGCAGATGTGACTATAAACTCACAAAGAATATTAGATAACTAAATAGGGCAACACCTACACAATAAACAAACTACAGTAGATTAAGTTAATATCTTCCAAATGAAAATAAGCTAACATATATTCTCCAAGATATAAAGGAGACTAACAGTAACACGAAGCAAGACCTAGTAGTTATTTCAGGAAAAAAAAAAAAAAACAGGTGGAAACAGTTGTGTATTAAAAATATGATTTAAAATAAAAACTCAACAGGAAAGATAAATAGTAGAATATATACAATCAATAAGTTAATTAGGAGCTGAAAGTTACAAAGTCAAAGAACTTTACCAATAGCAGCAGGGATAAATAAAAGGCCACATGGCGTAGTGGTTAAAAGTGTGAACCCTGGATCCCAAAGCCTGGGTTCAAATCTCAATCTGCCAAATATTAGCTGAAACACTGAGCAATTCACTTAACTAATATGTGATGACTTATTTTTCATCTATAAAATGTGTAGATACCAATAGTACCTACACTATATGATTGTAATGAGGATTAAATGAGTTAATATATGCACAGTACATGTAAGAGTTTCTGGCAAATAGCTAATTCTGCATAAATATAAGCTATTATTATTTTAAGGAGTAGGAAATACAAAAGAGCTATTTGTGGGAGATGTAGGAGAGAAGCAAACATGTCATGTAACTCACAGCAATCCTTGATAAGAAAAACAATTAGGTAGAAAGAAGGAAATATTCAAAGACTGACAATATTCTAGAATCAAAGAAAGATAAAATCTCTGATCCTTCAGATTTCAATCTTCAAATGGATTATCATAGAGAACTAAACAAAATAGATGAAAAAATCCCTATACCTTGACACATTGTGATAAAATTTAAGATTGGCCGGGCGCGGTGGCTCAAGCCTGTAATCCCAGCACTTTGGGAGGCCGAGACGGGCGGATCACGAGGTCAGGAAATCGAGACCATCCTGGCTAACACAATGAAACCCCGTCTCTACTAAAAAAAATACAAAAAACTAGCCGGGCGAAGTGGCGGGCGCCTGTAGTCCCAGCTACTCGGGAGGCTGAGGCAGGAAAATGGCGTGAACCCGGGAGGCAGAGCTTGCAGTGAGCTGAGATCCGGCCACTGCACTCCAGCCTGGGCAAGAGAGCCAGACTCCGCCTCAAAAAAAAAATAAAATAAATAAAATAAAATAAAATAAAATTTAAGATCAACAAGAGAGAAATAATAAATGATTACAAAAAGGAAGAATATAAAATCTTCAAAAGAAAAAGATTAGGTTGACCTCAGACTTGTCCATAATAATACCAGAGGCAAAACGATAATGAAGTACTACTTCAAGGTACCGATGTAAAAAGAATTTATACCCAGAAAAACTAATATCTAAAAATGATGGAGCAAGAAATATGATGTCAGACATTCAAGGCTCAGAAAGTTTGTATTCAAAGCCCAATTTTTGAAAAGATGATTGGAAAAAATATACTAAGAGAAATAAATCTAGGCAGTCATATGGGATTAAGTGTTGAATAAATAACTAATTTAAATAATTTGTAAGAAAAAAATGTGGGTATGTGTGTGTGTGTGTGTGTGTGTGTGACACGATCCGAAACTAAAATTCCACATAACAGCAACAAAGCAGGCGTGTGTAGTTTGACTGGGGAAGAGTGGAAGAAAAGAGGGAACTGACAGAGTTCTGAAGTCCCTGTCTTAATCAGAAAGAAATCACAAATGTTGATAGGTATAGGTTGTAGAGGGTTAGTCAAATAGAATATATAATTTTCATATCAGCAGAAAATTAATAAATCTATCATAGGAGATGGGAAAGGGAAAAAATAAAAGAACTCATACAGTATCTTCTCCTATTGTGTTAAATTCCTACTTCCCCTATTAAGTTCTTAATCTGCAAATTGGCAACCTCAGTATGAATTAACAATTGGTAACACATTCAATTTGCTTATTCCCTTGTCACTATTAACACCGGTAACATAATGGCTTTAAATTATGTACTGATATACCTAAAGTCTCATTAATTCAGACCTCAACAATTTGTATTTTGTGACATGCCTGACAGGGATGGGCTAAGGTTTAATTCTGCAAGAGTTTTAAAAAATCAGTAGCATGCCCAAGGGTATAAGACAGAATATTTAAATTACTTTAGACAATCGTTTAAGGATCCCAAACACTTCCTAAAAAAGTCATTTATTTATACCCATTTACTTGCAAGTATGCTAACTGTAAATCACTCTTATGTATTCAATAAATCTGTTCTCAAAAGAAGCCATTTGGTCAGAATTTATTGTTCAAATTTCTGTATAAAATTGTAAATGCTTATTGTTAGTCTGGACATATAAAATACTTTAATTTTTTCTCAAGATAAAATATCTTTTCCTCCTTTTAATCTGAATTAGTGAGGTAAGTTTCTACTGTAAAGACAAATCTAGTGTTAAATCTTTACTGAGTGACTTCTTAATAACTTTACCCGACAGTGTCCACCCCACAGATGAGAAGCTGACCCCCACTGTGGTCATTCTAGCTCTCAGCCTAAACAGTATCTAGGTTTTGTGCTTTTTTTAACCTTGTGCATACATATCACACGAGGCTGTGTTCAGACATGACAACAAATGGTACATAATCAACTCACACATGCCTTATTAAAACAAAATCCAACACATACATTTATTTGGCTAATTACAACGTTATCTTTTTTCTTATGGCAAATGAAGGCCTGTTTTACTGAGTGACTGATAGATATAACTAGCCCATTTTCACATTGCTCTACTACCTGAGACTGGGTAATTTATTTTAAAAAGAGGTTTAATTGACTTGCAGTTCCCTATAGCTGAGGACACCTCAGGAAACTTACAATTATGGTAGAAGATGAAGGGGAAGAAAGCACCTTCTTCACAAAGCAGCAGGAGAAAGAGAGAGCCCAGGGGAACCTGCCACTTTTAAACCATCAGATCTTGTGAGAACTCCCTATCATGAGAACAGCATGGGGGAAACTGCCGCCATGACCCAATCACCTGCCACCAGGACCCTCCTTCGACTCACAGGGATTACAACTTGAAATGAGATTTGGGTGGGGACAGAGAGCCAAACTATATCAACCACTGTGCTTACGTAAGAGAGGGGGACCTTCACGACTTGATCTCTTCCTGCTTGGACAGAGTCTTGGTTACCTCCTTCTTGGCCTGAAGCGGCTCCTCGGGGCACTCCTGTACTTCCTTGGTCTTAATCTTGGGGGCCTATCTGGTTAGCCAGTGGCTTCCTGTAGGCCTTCTCTGCCTTCAGCCTGTGGATGTGTTCCAGGAGAATCTGCTTGATTCTCATTTATCTAAAAGATAATGTAATTTTTAAGAGAAAAAAATCAGGTATGTTATTTTTCTTTGAGTACTGTGGGCACAGCCGTGCATATTGCTCAGGAAACTGAAGAGGCTTGCCTCCAGCATCCTCTGCCATGACAAAAAAGCCTCATAGGATCCCAGTGAAACCAACCAAACAGCCAGCAGATCTGGAAGTTGATCAAAGATGGGCTGATCATCCACCAGACTATGATTGTCCATTCTCAGGTTCCATGCCAGAAAGGGGCAGGTACATGGGTACATGTAATCCTACGGGCCCTGCAGATGCTGGAATGTCCCAGAAGGTAACCTGCATGAGGGAGAGGAGGACCCTGCACCAACTTCTTAGAATATATGGTGAATTTGAAATTGACCACCACCTGTATCACAGTCTGTACCTGAAAAAGACTTGCCATTTTAGAACCTAGCACTGACTTGCCCATGCGGGATCCTGCAGAGTCTCCTTTCTCTCTGCCATGGCAACCTGCAACGTAACAACCAGTGATGCTCCATCAGTCTTGATTCCTGAGTAAAGAGCTGAAGGATAACTGCTTGGGATCAGAGCTACAGATACCACAGCTCCAGAGAGAAATACACTTTGTTGTTTTAAGCTGGATTTTGTGGAACTGTCTATTATTACAGCATAACCTGCCCATCATGACTGACACAGTATCTTACTTATTCCAGACAACAGACAAGGTAGACAATATTGCTTAAAAAAAAAAAAAGTGACTGATGTAAAAGTGGAGACTCAGGAAACTAAATAATTCATGTCCGAAGTTACACTAACAGCATTTGACCTGTCTCATTCCAAAGCCCACTGTATTTCCACCTTATCACTTTTCAAAAACTGTTTTAAAGTACAACTCATTAGACTTGCTATCATGTTCAGCAATCAGAAAGTTCCAGATTTGTTGAGCAATGTTGAATACGCCCTTGAACCACTCTTCCAGTGATGAAGAAGATGAAGTCCTCTGTGCCAGTTAAGAATACTTCCAGAGGTTAAAGAGAAGGCTGGCTGAAAATTTTCCTTTGGGATCTGCAGGAATTTAAGCTTCACCATAATTTCCATCAAGGGATAAATTAATGAGAGCCACACAGACTGTCTAAAACCTAATTTTAGAGTCACATGCCCATCGATTTCAACATACTTTAGCAAAGACTTCTCTAAATTCTCGACATTACAAATGTCATTCCACTCCTATTTTGAAAGTTAAGTATTCTAACTTTTCCGTAGAAGCAGAAAAATGGAAATGATGTCTATATATTAGTAATTTGGGAAATCACATAGGAATTAAACTTTCATTAGGTCACTTCGAGGATTAAAATTCAGGAGGAAAATAAACTGCTCTGATTTTTCATTCCTTCATTCATTTGACAAATAATTATCAACAGAACTGTACTGGGCACTGGAGATAAAGTGATGAATAAAATAGACAAAAATCTCCACCCTCTTGGGTCCTATTTTTAGTAGGGGAGACAGATAATAAGATAAATGAAATATAGAGAGTTAGATGTGAGAAGCGCTGTGGAGAAAAATAATGCAGAGATAGACCTTGTATGTGTGATGCAGAAGAAGGATGTTATTAATATAATATGGCCATGGAAGGTCTTACTGAGGAAGTGAAATTTGAATAAAGCCTTTAAAAAAGCAAAATAGCCAGCTACTTGACTATGCAGAGGAAGCACATTCCAGGATCTTGGAAAAGCAAGAATATTAGTTCCAAAACAGAACTGTGCCTTGTATAGTGAGAAACACTCAGGAGTTGGTGTAGCTGGAGTAAAGTGAAGAGAATAATTTTTGTCTGTCTTGATCAACATAAATCCCATCCTAGCAACCAGCACAGTGCCTGGCACACAGTAGGCCCTCTGGCACATAGTAGGCACACTGTAAATACATGTTGAATAAATGAACGAATCAATGGGAAAAGGGAGTGAATGGGATTAGGGATGACAGCCAAAGGGAGAGTCTAACGTTATCATATGTGGTCTATACACTTTCTTTTAATAAAAAAAATAAGGCAAATATGACCATATGTTAACAATAGTAAATTTTGGGATATAATAAAGTATGTGGTACTTTACTTTTTAAATTTCTAAAATTATTGTAAACAAACAATTCAAGAGACACTAAAAATCTCACATGCCAACAATGAAGTGGCTAGTACAGCGCGTAGTATTTTCACCTGCTATTTCCTGTTATCCTCCACACCTGTGAGAGAACTGGTTTCTGTTCGCTTTACGACTGTAGAAACAAGATCAGAGAGGTTATGGGAGTTGACTAAGGCTATGCACAACCAGGCAAGAGAAGAGCTGAAATTTTCATATAGCTTTTCTGACTCTAATTCCAGTGTTTGTTTTTTTACATTACACTATTCTGCATGTAACATATATATGAGGCTTTTCTACACCTATAAACTATAAAATATATGTAACTATTTGCTACATTTAGTAAATAAGTAGTAAGAAAAAATAAAGCTATGTAAAATTTTAATGTAATTTTATGTCATTGATATCTGTTCTTAAACAAAGCAATCATTCTGAATTTACATCTTATAGTCATTCCACTTATCACTCCCCTTCTTAACCCTTGAACCTCTACTCACCCAATCTTTACCCCACTAAACACATACTACAGAGTTATTCTATCTCATAGAATAACATTTATTAATAGAACTAAAGACCTCTATTGGGTCTACACAGAGCTACCGGACTGCACCAGAGAAGAAGTTCTAAATCATTCTGGTTAGCCTGCCCCACATACATAGGGCTACAGGATGCAGTCTTAATGAAAACCAGAATTACAGATTGTAGATGTTTCAAAAGTTTACATTTGAATTAATTATTCTCACAGCAGAACAAGATAGCTCTTTGGCCTTTTTTCTTTTTATCCATCAGAAGGGTTTAGTAATTCAGTGTTGTTAAGACACAGGTTGAGAGAAATGCATCTAATTTAGTAAGAATCAGAATTGGAGTGGAATAAGTAAAAGGTGGTAAAACATAAAAAGCCAGTGATTTCAGGGATGCCCCAGTGACTGTGCATACAAGCTGACCAGTGCAAATTAAGAGAGATACAGTGATTCATTAGAAAGAACTGATGCTTAGTTTAGAACCCAGACTGCCTTATGGGTCATAATGGCATTCCTCCTTCCCCTTCGAGTTCCATGGACTCTCCTTCTTTCCTGCATTTGAGAAATGCAAGCAAAGTGCCCTCTTGGGCACCAAGCAGGAGTCTCTCTCTGCTTCCTCTGCAGTGATGAATGACAGGGTTAAAATGTCACAGCTAGAATCATCTAGGGAAGATGCCATCCATTGAGTGCTAAGAGAGAAATGTCATTTCTAAGAAAGTGCTTTGCCTCACACATCCTTCATGGCCAGGTGTACCTAAGTGCCTGAACCAATGCTGGCCTTGTTGTCCTCAACCAAAATAGTTTTCTTCATGGAATATATTTATGATGGCTTAAAAAAACTTAAAAAGCAATTTAAAAGTTTCTGGGAGAACCAGAGTGTCAGAATGAAAGTTAGAAGAGACGAGCTGGAGATCCAGTATTGCTGCTAACTGGCTTTTTGGTTTGGGGCAAGTTAATTTCAGCTTTCCCAGCTAAATGGTTGCTAAGGTGCCTTACAGCTCTAGTTTTCATTGTAACTTGTTACCCAGGGAAGCATGCTACCAAACTTATCCAGTGAGATGAGACAGGAAAGATTTAATCACATTCTCTCTCAACCAAAGTGGTTAAACTTTTAATCAGTCGTCACTATCAGAAACTTATTTTTTTTTATTACATATATTAGTTTCTTATGTTGTGAGTTAATCCTAGATCTCTCAGGGAAAAATAAGCATATTTCCTCTGGCATCACCTATTTCTATTATTGTGGTTTATTTATGTATTTATTTTTAATAATTAGATAAGTGTATCCTGATGTTAACTAACAACTAATACCAATCTGAAAAGGGTTAGCTTTACAAGTACTTCCTTTAGTTTGCCCCTACGTTAACTGAGGCCTTGGTCATGGGTTTGGTCCATATATAGGCCATTAGCTACATGTGAAGAAGATCTCAAGTTCTGATTTGCTGCCTTGGGAAGTGTTAATCATAGGAGGTACACTGACAGGATGTAAATATGGCTCATCACCATAACTGGAAAAAAGCAATGTTAACGCACCTGTCCCGCCACATAGAGTCATCTTGGTGCTGATGCTCACCTTCCAGTATAATGAAAAATTCAAATTCGTCTGTCAGGCAGAATGCATTAAACTAGGATAAGAAAGTAAGGGTCAGTGAATTAGAATAAACATACTTACTACACACATAAAATAAAACAAAACCCCAAATCCACACTTCCAAAACAGGTTTGAGATGATATTTCAGTTGAAGAGTCACCACATTAAAGAGTTCCTTGCTCCTGAGTGATGTGCTACAGATCATTAATTCTATAAACATGCAAGTAGTTGCCATGTTTTTGGTGGATCTGAGTCATCACTGCCACAGTGATAAAGGAAGCTGAAGAAGCTCCAACACATGGAAAATAAACCAGACCACTGCACAGGCTTGTTTCTATGGAACAGAGGACTAAGTTGGATTTGAAACATTTTAAAGATTTCCCATTGCTTCTCTTTCCTTTGTGGGGGGTTGTATTTTGCAGAATGTATATGAAAATAACTTCCAAGTAATAGAAAAGCTTGCATTTCATATGGGGAAAATACACGTATTCAGACTATTTTTAACCACTTGTATTTTGCATCTCTTCCTTTTTTTTTTTTTTCTGAGACAGGGTTTCACTCTATCATCCAGGCTGGAGTGCTGTGGCACGGTCACAGCTCACTGCAGCCTCAAACTCCTGGGCTTAAGCAATCCTCTTGTCTCAGCCTAACTCAGAGTAGTTAGGACTACAGGTGTGTGCCACCACACCCGGCTCCTTCCAATTTTTTATTGATAACTTTTACTTCCCAAGTCACACAGTCACTATTATTTCTCTTTCTGGTGTTTGCAGAGATCCCCTTCTATTTTCTCCCTCATATGCCAAGTATCTTTCAACTTTTCTTTTCAGTCACAAACACCTTTACATTGCTGATCTTCTTCCTTCTTACTCATTTGGATTACCTTTTCCCATAAGCTCAAATAATCTTAAAACAAATCCTAATTTGGAATCTGTTACTGAAGAATTCTAGCTGATAAAAGTGTTTTGGATCTCTTTCTCTGGCAGCCTTGAGAAATAAAGTTAAAGGCCATTTCTTTAATTGTACACGCAGAAATTAGTTTTTATAGCATTTGAAAAGTATACCTATTAATAAACTTTTGGATAATAAAATCTTAGAAGAAATCTAACCAAAATGACATACAATGTTAAGTATGGGAAGGGTCTTTAAACAACACTGTCTCATCTATGGCAAGGTTCTATGGTCTGACTATAATGCCTGTTGAGAAGCCCTTGTCTATTTGGTTTTCTTTATACTTGAGGAAAAAAAAGAAAAAGAAAAAAGGGAAACAAGAAAACCAGCAATGTTCAACAATCCTTCAGGCTATTTCCAAGAACAATCTTTGTACCTCACAACATCTCCACCTAGTGACTCCTTAAGGATCTTACAGCAATTCCTAGAAATTACTCGTTTTAAATTTACAGTAATATGCCTAACCTCATTTCAGCTAGTTTCACCTTAAACACACGTATTTAGAATTAATTACTGGGAACTGAGAAGGTACCGACATGAAAATGAAGAATGCGGAGAATCTTTTTCTGGAGAAATAAAAGAGCAGCAACAAATAGTAATCAATATAACAATCACAGTTTCCGAGGTAGAGAATTGGTGACAGTCAAACAAAGCCAACCAGGTCTATCAGTCTAGGTTTCCTAGTTGCTTTATTTTGAATGCACACATCTTATATAAAATGACATTTGTATTCATTGACTAAAGGGCAGACAGCTTACAAAAAATATTTGTTGAGCTTCCAGTGTGCATCTAGTATTATGCCAAGTTTTCCACTTGTTTCTGGACATATTTTGAGACAGTATAGTATAGTAATTATGTCTGTAGGTTTCAAACTGGAGCCACTTACTTGCTATACGACTTTGTCCAAACTACTTACAGTTTCTGCATCTGTTTCCCCATCTGCAAAGTAGGGCTAGTAACTTTACCAAAGTTATTGTGAGAATTAAATGAAAATACGAAAAGCCCTTAGGATTGTTTCTGGCATCTAAAAGTGCTCAATATTTGTTAATATCATTTATTATTTTATCCTCACAATCCCCACTTTAAACAGGGTCTGTCTGGCTCCAAAGTCCCTGCTAATTCCTCGCTGTTGTAGTATATTTAAAAATTAAAAATAAACTTTGTCAACAAAATTTAAATCGGTAGACATTCATTAGTTCCTTGAACATATGGAGAAAATACATTAGTAGTTAATGTGGAAGAAATAACCTTGAGGTTGGGAATAAGGAGACCTGTGTTACTCGGTGATTATTCTGCGCAACAAGTTCCTTGTTAGCGAATCTACATGAGCTAGGTTCTTTATTGTCTAATATTCCATGAATCTAATATTATCTATAAACAGTTGGTTCCTGAAGGTGGTTTTTTCTTTCCTTGTCTGCATTCAATCTCGAGCTGTCTTCAAAGGAAGCAAAATTGAAGTTATGCATACAGAATGCCAAACAACCCTATCTGTGAAAGTTGGTTTTACAGGAGCATAGAACCCAGTTCGGCAGTTTGCCTCTGCCAAATATGTCTGCAAGCTGATTAGTGGCAGCATCAGGCCTATTGCTAGGTCTCCTAATTTAACCCATTTTCTTAGTCATTTAAATCACTTATACTTTATACTTTGAGTCCTATTTGCAAATCCATCTTTTAGCTTTATAACCCACCTCCCCCCAGCCCCTAATTTCAAAGGTCTAATTTCAAAGGTCTACCGGATATACGTGGTTGTTTTGCGTCAAACTAGCAGTTTAAGACAAGAAAACTACATCAAACAAGAAAAAGAACCATTACGATGCATGTATGTTTTCTCTTAACTACGGAATTTCACATTATAGCCCTTGTCTTCAAACACCTAAACAATGCAAGCAGGACCTTCATTTATTATTCCGTGCCCACCCACACCCTAAAAACCGCTCTCTTCACCCCAACTGCTCGAACTGCCTGTCACTCCAAGCACTTCTACTAGCCCAAGAGCCTCATTTAAACTTTACCCCACTCTCCCCTCCTCGCCCCGCCCCGAAGCTAATTCCTGATTGGCCGAGGCACCACTCCTCGTGGGGCTGCTTAGGCCACTGCGCGCGGTGCGCGCTGGGAAACGAGTGGAGACACGAGGACTAGCGCGAGCGCTCCTGGTGGGCCCCCCTCCCCCTGCGGCGACCCCCCGCTCTGACCGACTGGTCCCCTAAACGGTGGCGGCAGTTTTTGGTCGTTGGTCCCCGAGATTTAGGACCAACATTTGGAGACCCCAAGGGGTGAGGAGGGGAAAGGGGAAACGGGGTCACTACCAAACCACTGCTAACGGCTGGAGACAGTGCCCGGCTCATTCTCAGGGCAAATACACAGTGGGGGCTGGAGGCGGTGGCTGCGGGCTTCACCCCGCGTCCTTCCCCAGCCCCGTCGAGCAGTGGGAGAGCAAGTGTCCGAGACGCTGCCTCCGGCCCCGGCAGCATCCTGCCGGAAGGCGCCCTCGCAGTCCCCCAGGCGCTGCATGGTGAGGGCCCAGCGGCCAGTCTCTTTGGCGCGTCTGGCGGCTTCTTCCGCCCCGCGGCGCAGTGCGCTCTCCGCCTTATTTCCGCTCTCCCCCGCTGCCTTCCGGCCGCTTCCCACCTATGCTGCCTTCCGTGTTCTCCTGACACGCTCCAGCCGACGACCAACGACCGCTGCAGGCCCGGGCCGCCGCCTAGCTGTTGGGCCCGCGCGTCCCCTGGAGGCTTTGGGACGCCGTCTGGGGCGTCCCGACGGCTGGGTGAGATTAAGCAGTCTCGTTTCAGAATTGAATTCAGGTTGGGTGAGCTTTAGCAGGTTCCTCGTCGTTTTCATGGCGTTCTAGACGGGGCTTAGCCTCGAACTTTCCTCTGCCGTTGTCTCTTTTCTGTCTCTTCCCCGAGTACCTCCTGTGTGCTGGGCTGTGGGCAGTGGAAGGCCGCGGGTGTTCAGGGAAGATAGCTCGCCAGTCTCCCGACATACGGACGGCAGTACGCGTCGTGGCACCACCTTTGTTTCCTGACATCTGGTAGTTTTTAAACCACTAATTTAAAAATGTTTCTTTTGAGCTACTGGAAAAATCGCAGAACCCGGAGTCAGAAGGCGCGGGATTTAATAATCCTGGCGTTAATATTCTGAGACGTTGCGAAGCTCCTTGATTTATATGGGCACCAATTTTCTCCTGTGTAAATTTAGCTTAGGTAATATTTAAGTTCTTTAAGCTTTAACTGTCTTTACATTCTTGATAAATTTCCCGTAACCTTTACGTTATATGGTAATCCTAATATAGGCAGATACCAAAGAGGAAATATCGTAAGGAGTTTTTTAGATTTCTTTGTTTTGTTTTGTTTTGTTTTTGAGACAGAGTCTCGCTCTGTCGCCCAGGCGGGAGAGCAGTGGCAGGATCTCGGCTCACTGCAACCTTCGCCTCCCGGGTTCAAGTGATTCTCCTGCCTCAGCCTCCGGCAGTAGCTGGGACTACAGGCGCGCGCCACCACGCCCAGCTAATTTTTGTATTCTTAGTAGAGACTATGTTGGCCAGGATGGTCTCGCTCTCTGGACCTCATGATCCACCCGCCTCGAGATCCCAAAGTGCTGGGATTACAGGCGTGGGAGTTTTTTTCTAAGTCTTGGCCTCTAAAATTGGCCTGATTTTGTGTTTGAGAATGGCGTTATAACCAGGAAGCAGGATATGTTGCATGTATAAGGAGAATAACATATAAAGGTCATGTTCAAGTGTCGGTAGAATTTTGCTTATTTAAATAATGGGAAGATATTTTCATTGCAAGAATCACCATAATGTATATACAGTTTGACAGACTTCCGTTTGGATCTCCTTATGGGGGTCTAATGATGGATTTGTTTTCAGGGCACACATTTAAAACATTCTACTTTGTTTGCATCTGTCTGCATCTGTTTGCATTGTTAATAAAATTTGTTTGCATCTTTATAGACAAAGATGACTGTTAGTGCTGCAGTCACTAAATATTAATGCTTTCTGCTTAAGGCACTGCTTTGATTGCTAATTTTCACTTAGATTGGAGTAATGGACTTGAATATTATTGCCAAATATACATATCAACACTTAAAACGTGCATTACTGGATATATCATGAAATAAGAATTATTGATAACGAGAGCAAAGCCAGTTTATGGACTGAAATTAAGCCTCAGGTTTAATGGTGTTATTTTATTGTTAGAAGGAAGACATGTCAGTTTAAGTAGAGTTTGTGAATACAAATCAAGTAATTGCTGTAAAAATTGCCCAGATTTGCATATTAATGCTGAATATCATTTCTCATTTTACTACCCGAAGGTTGATGAGGCAAGAAAATATGATCTCTGTGTTCAGATTGGTAACAGATTTAAAATAACAGATTATGAAAGACCTTGTGTGAAGAATGGTGCACTTAATTTGGACAAGAATATGTAGATATCTTTATCCTGAATTCAAAGAGCATATACACCTTCGTGTTCAAAGCAATATTTTTTAAAAGTATTAGTTACAGTTTTTAAAAGTAGCTCAAGTTTTAAGTCATTCCAAATTTAAACTTAATATTAAAACTTATCCATTATATATATTTAACTTCTAGCAATAAAATGTACTCTCATTCTTTAATAAAAACAACTTAAGATGGAATTCAACTGATCCATCTACATTTATTTCAAAATAACTTTAGACTTCCGTATCCACACAATTTTGATGAACTCTTCTCATTTTCCAACCATGTTGGCTGTAGTGCAGTCTGTCAGTAAAACGAATTGCTGCTTAAAAACAAACGGAAAACCTCCATTGACCTGGCAACCGTGGTTTCCATGTACTATACTCAATGACAACTGAACAAACAAACGAGGAGTTTAGTACCATGTAATTCAAGGAATGTCATAAAGATTTAATGTGCCTCTATAAAGGCACATTTTGATCTTCTTTTTTTTTTTTTCATTATTACATTGAGTTTTTAAAACCAACAGTAAGATTATATAATGTTCACTTTCACAGCTTTCTGAATTTTTACAGTAACTTGGAAGATGAAGTTTCAATTGTAGTTTTAATACAGCTGACACAGTTCCTTTAAATAATTTTCATTAATATTTTCCTAAATTGTGCTTGTCATTTTTTTATTAATATTCTTTCTATTTTTGAAAGGCAGTACAAATTTGAAAATGCGTATTTTTGATAATTATTAAGAAGGTTAAAATTAAAGGAGATATAGTGAGCACTTAAAGACAAAGGCTTGATTCGGATTGTTACTTCAATAACTTATGATTTGCTATCCTGTCTTGGCATTTTGCTTCATACCTTAGAGAGGTTTTTTTTCCTTTCTTCTATTTTTTTTCTTTTGAAAGTGAGCTAGAGAGGAATCTTTGAAAGTCCACAGTTTAGGGAAAAAAATACATATCTGAAAGCTGGAGTTAAATATGGCACAACTTTTAATTTCTCATTCCCACTTTGTCTGCAAAACCATTTTTGTCATTCTCCTACTCAGGATCCCTCCTTACTTGGATTACTTGGGTCAACAGGGAAAGGAAACAAGTTTTTTAGAATGCTTTGGAGTGCGACTCCACACCTGAAAGTGGCAGAGGACAAATTGAGTCTGGAAGCCTCAATTGATATGTCAGTTTTGCTCTAATGTATAGGACAGATGTGCTTTGTTGGATATTTAGGTAACTCTCAGATTGATTCTGGAGTATTTTAGAATGAATGTATTGTATGCTTGTTTTAGATTTGATTGTATTTCTCTGGCTATTCTTGAATTTTGCCTCTTTCAGAAATATACTTTTGTTAAATTAATACGATAAAGTTAGGTAATTTTGAACTTGTGAATTATACACATGCATATGTTTGTTTTGGAGGCTTTGAGATAACACTTTTTTATTCTAAAGAGTATAGGATTGGTGACTCTTGAGTGTGTCTTTTACTTCTGTAATTTCAAGCTTTTATAATATTTTGATTGAGATTTCTTGAGATGTACAAAGTCTAGCATATGTTTCTAGTCATTCTCTAGTATAAGGAGCCTTTAATGTGTATAGATTGGCCTGTTATTTCAACATAAGAACCTAGATAATCTCTTTAAAAATATAACTTTAGAGACATGAATTAACCCCAAAAATAGGCCTGTAAGGTAATTGTAGGGATGGGTTGGATTGCAGAAATCAGCCATTTGGAGCTAGCCATGAATTGTAGTTAAAAAAAAAAAAAGTCTTGTTTATTAAGTTAAATTCTACATTTTGGATAAAATGGGAGCATATATTGCTTCTATAACCAGTATGTAGCATATGTAAAGAACCATATTAAGGCTGGTGCAAAAGTAATCGCTGCTTTTGCCATTAAAAGTAATGGCAAAAACAGCGATTACTTTTGCAACAGCCTTTTAAGTAGATTCTTGTTTTTTCTCTCGCTGTTTTTCCTGTAGCCTGTTTAAAAAATCTCACAATTCCCTATTCACATTGTGTCAACATGATCTTTAGTGTAGTGGGCCAGTATGATGTCCTGTGGGATGTCGAGGCCATTGAAGACTCTCTAAACTAAATTATGGAAGAGAGTTCAGAGTTACGAATTTCTGAGGCTCCATGGTTTTGGGCCCTTGGTCTTTTCGATTACTAATTTTGTGACTTTAAGCAGGACTCTTCATATTTGCTTTTGGTTTTCTTGTCTACAGTATTGGAGGTCATCTAAGGTCCACTTGCAGTTCTAATATTTTCTTACTACAAAATCTTCAGTAATGGTATATGGCAAAACCTAGAGTGAAATAGTGTTAAATTGAGAAAGGTAGTTATATCATTTAAAATGCTCTTACTTTTAAAGGAATAGTGACAGAAAACATTGGATTTTTTAAAAGACAAAAGACTGAAAGTTGGTTGCTCAGTCAGTCCTTATCTTTTTTTTTTTTTGATGGAGTCTCGTTCTGTCCCCCAGACTGGAGTGCGGTGGCACGATCTCAGCTCACTGCAGTCTCCACCTCCTTGGTTCAAGGAATTCCCTGCCTCAGCCTCCCGAGTAGCTGGGATTACAGGCACATGCCACCACACCTGGCTAAATTTTTTGTTTTTAATAGAGACGGGTTTCACCACGTTGGCCAGACTGGTCTTAAACTCTTGCCGTCAGGCAATCTGCTCACCTCAGCCTCCCAAAGTGCTGGGATTACAGGCATGGGTTACCGTACCTGGCCAGTCTTTATCTTTTTGATGGTTCTGATTACAAAAAATAACATTTCTTTTATCTGAATCTATTAATAGTACATTGTTTTATTTGTTGCATTTGGTGTCACATAAATCTTCCATGAAGTGTAGTGTAAGATACACAGCTGATAATACAGACATAAGACTTTTCCCTTGATAAAAATTATTTTCTACTTTATATTTCTGCCATTTAATAAATGTGTGAGGATATTCATCTTAAATCTTCACTTAAAAAAAAAAAACAGTAGGCCGGGCACGATGACTCACACCTTTAATCCCAGCACTTTGGGAGGCCAAGGTGGGTGGATCACGAGGTCAGGAGTTCAAGCCTGGCCAACATAGTGAAACCCCATCTCTACTAAAAATACAGAAATTAGCCAGGCATGGTGGTGCGTGCCTGTAGTCCCAGCTACTTGGGAGGCTGAGGAAGGAGAGTCACTGTACTCCAACCTGGGTGACAGAGCGAGACTCCTTCTTGGAAGACAAAAACAAAAACAAAACAATAAATGTGTGAGGTTGGTAAATTATGAGAACCTAAAAACAATATAAAGATAAATGAGATAGTACTTATCATATTGAAAGGAACAAGAAAGGAGGAAAGCTGAATAGCATTTTTTCCTTCTCCAGAGATAGAACTTTATAATACAGCTTTATTATTTTTTAATATGTGAGTTTCTATCGCTTCTTGGCCTTTTGGCCAAGATCAAGTATAGTATGTGTTATTACCAGTTTAATATCTGATATGTCTTCTGAGGACAAATCTTTTTGTTTTTTTATTACACTTTCAGTTCTAGGGTACATGTGCACAATGTGCAGGTTTGTTACATATGTATACATGTGCCATTTTGGTGTGCTGCACCCATTAACTCCTCATGTACATTAGGTATATCTCCTAATGCTATCCCTCCCTGCTCCCCCCACCCCAAGACAGGCCCCAGTGTGTGATGTTCCCCACCCTGTGTCCAGATGTTCTCATTGTTCAGTTTCCACCTGTGAGTGAGAACATGCAGTGTTTGGTTTTCTGTCCTCGTGATAGTTTGCTCAGAATGATGGTTTCTAGCTTCATCTGTTGCCTACAAAAAACATGAACTCATCCTTTTTTATGGCTGCATAGTATTCCATGGTGGATATGTGCCATATTTTCTTTTTTATTATTATTATACTTCTAGGGTACATGTACACAACATGCAGGTTTATTACATATGTATACATGTGCCATGTTAGTGTGCTGCACCCATTAACTGGTCATGTACATTAGGTATATCTCCTAATGCTATCCCTCTGCCCTCCCCCCACCCCACGAGAGGCCCCGGTGTGTGATGTTCCCTACCCTGTGTCCAAGTGTTCTCATTGTTCAATTCCAACTATGAGTGAGAACATGTGGTGTTTGGTTTTCTGTCTTTGTGATAGTTTGCTCAGAATGATGGTTTCCAGCTTCATCCATGTCCCTGCAAAGGACATGAACTCATCCTTTTTTATGGCTGCATAATATTCCATGGTGTATATGTGCCACATTTTCTTAATCCAGTCTATCGTTGATCGACATTTGGGTTGGTTCCAAGTCTTTGCTATTGTGAATAGTGCTGCTATAAACATACGTGTGCATGTGTCTTTATAGCAGCATGATTTATAATCCTTTGGGTATATACCCAGTAATGGGATGGCTGAGTCAAATGGTATTGCTAGTTCTAGATCCTTGAGGAATCGCCACACTGTCTTCCACAGTGGTTGAACCAGTTTAGTTTATGATCCCACCAGCAGTGTAAAAGTGTTCCTGTTTCTCCAAATCCTCTCCAGCACCTGTTGTTTTCTGACTTTTTAATGATTGCCATTCTAACTGGTGTGAGATGGTATCTCATTGTGGTTTTGATTTGCATTTCTCTGATGGCCAGTGATGATGAGCATTTTTTCATGTGTCTGTTGGCTGCATAAATGTCTTCTTTTGAGAAATGTCTGTTCATATCCTTTGCCCACTTTTTGATGGGGTTGTTTGGTTTTTTCTTGTAAATTTGTTTAAGTTCTTTGGAGATTCTGGATGTTAGCCCTTTGTCAGAGGGGTAGATTGCAAAAATTTTCTCCCATTCTGCAGGTTGCCTGTTCACTCTGATGGTGGTTTCTTTTGCTGTGCAGAAGCTCTTTAGTTTAATTAGATCCCATTTGTCAATTTCGGCTTGTGTTCCCATTGCTTTTGGTATTTTAGTCATGAAGTCCTTGCCCATGCCTATGTCCTGAATGGTATTGCCTAGGTTTTCTTCTAGGATTTTTCTGGTTTTAGGTCTAACATTTAAGTCTTTAATCCATCTTGAATTAATTATTGTATAAGGTGTAAGGAAGGGATCCAGTTTCAGCTTTCTACGTATGGCTGCCGCATTTTCTTAATCCAGTCTATCATTGATGGACATTTGGGTTGGTTCCAAGTCTTTGCTATTCTGAATAGTGCCACAATAAACAAACGTGTGCATGTGTCCTTATAGCAGCATGATTTATAATCCTTTGGGTATATACCCAGTGATGGGATGGCTGGGCCAAATGGTATTTCTAGTTCTAGGTCCTTGAGGAATCGCCACACTGTCTTCCACAATGGTTGAATCTATAAATTACCTTGGGCAGTATGGCCGTTTTCATGCTATTGATTCTTCCTATCCATGAGCATGGAATGTTCTTCCATTTGTTTGTGTCCTCTTTTATTTCATTGAGCAGTGGTTTGTAGTTCTTGTTGAAGAGGTCCTTCACATCCCTTGTAAGTTGGATTCCTAGGTATTTTATTCTCTTTGAAGCAATTGTGAATGAGAATTCACTCATGATTTGACTCCCTGTTATTGGTGTATAAGAATGCTTGTGATTTTTGCACATTGATTTTGTATCCTGAGACTGCTGAAGTTGCATATCAACTTAAGGAGATTTGGGGCTGAGATGATGGGGTTTTCTAAATATACAATCATGTGGTCTGCAAACGGGGACAATTTGACTTCCTCTTTTCCTAATTGAATACCCTTTCTTTCTTTCTCCTGCCTGATTGCCCTGGCCAGAACTTCCAACACTATGTTGAATAGGAGTGGTGAGAGAGGGCATCCCTGTCTTGTGCCAGTTTTCAAAGGGAACGCTTCCAGTTTTTGCCCATTCAGTATGATATTCGCTGTGGGTTTCTTATAAATAGCTCTTATTACTTTGAGATACGTCCCATCAATACCTAGTTTATTGAGAGTTTTTAGCATGAAGGGCTCTTGAATTTTGTCAAAGGCCTTTTCTGCATCTATTGAGATAATCATGTGGTTTTTGTCTTTGGTTCTGTTTGTATCCTGGATTACGTTTATTGATTTGCGTATGTTGAACCAGCCTTGCATCCTAGGGATGAAGCCAACTTGATCATGGTGGATAAGCTTTTTGATGTGCTGCTGGATTCAATTTGCCAGTATTTTATTGAGGATTTTTGCATTGATGTTCGTCAGACATACTGGTCTAAAATTCTTTTTTGTTGTTGTTGTGTCTCTGCCAGGCTTTGGTATCAGGATAATGCTGGCCTCATAAAATGAGTTAGGGAGGATTCCCTCTTTTTCTGTTGATGGGAATAGTTTCAGAAGGAATGATACCAGCTCCTCTTTGTACTTCTTGTAGAATTCGGCTGTGAATCTGTCTGGCCCTGGACTTTTTTTGATTGGTAGGCTATTAATTATTGCCTCGATTTCAGAGCCTGTTATTGGTCTATGCAGGGATTCAGCTTCTTCCTGGTTTAGTCTTGGGAGGGTGTATGTGTCCAGGAATTTTCCATTTCTTCTAGATTTTCTAGTTTTTTTTTGCATAGAGGTGTTTATAGTATTCTCTGATGGTAGTTTGTATTTCTGTGGGATTGGTGGTTATATCCCCTTTATCATTTTTTGTTGCATCTATTTGATTCTTCTCTCTTTTCTTTTTTATTAGTCTTGCTAGCGGTCTGTCAATTTTGTTGATCTTTTCAAAAAACCAGTTCTTGGATTCATTGAATTTTTGAAGGGTTTTTTTGTGTCTCTGTCTCCTTCAGTTCTGCTCTGATCTTAGTTATTTCTTGCCTTCTGCTAGCTTTTGAATGTGGTTGCTCTTCTCTAGCTCTTTTAATTGCAGTGTTGGCTAGTCAATTTTGATCTTTCCTGCTTTCTCTTGTGGGCATTTAGTGCTATAAATTTCCCTCAACATACTGCTTTAAATGTGTCCCAGAGATTCTGGTATGTTGTGCTGAGGACAAATCTTAAATGGATTTTTCGAGCAAGGAGAGGCTTGCTGCATCCACTCCACTCATCAACTTGATATTGCAGTACCTCCAGGAACAGTGCATTCCCCTCAGGGAAATAAATTTAAAAAAAAAAAAGCAAAATGAGTTTCTTCAGAATATCACATATACCCGTTTTTCAAATGTAAATATATGTTAAAATGAACTCTTAGGGCCCAGATTGTATTCATGGGTAGATATTGTATGATATTACAATTATGACACAATGTTGACTAAGACAATGCAGAATTCTATTACTGGTCAGACTAGGGAAGTTTTAAGAAGTTTTCTATTTATATTTGGACAGGTTGCTCTTAATGTTTGCTAACATGAAAAGTTTTATCATGGAAAAGGGGGAGAAGTTAGCCATTTCATTGATGGGACAAGTGACTAAAAAGATCAGATGGGAGGTAGGAAGAACTGGCAGGTTGAATCTAATAAAATGAGATTAAGTTGATTCTAAAATCTGGTTACTTGATATAGGGCAGGGCAGATTTGAGGTTTTTGTTGACAGCATGCTGAATTTTAGCTGACAATAGCATGCAGCTGTGTAGAACACCATTGTGCTGTTTCTCTGTACTGCTGGAGTTTTCGATTTTGGCCAACCACACTTTTGAAGGAAGAAGAGATAGGATAATGAGAGAACATAAACTATGTCATATAAGAAACAGTTAAGTAGCATTTTCCTGTGGTTCTGTAGAAAATAGATAGGCCGGGCGCGGTGGCTCAAGCCTGTAATCCCAGCACTTTGGGAGGCCGAGACAGGCGGATCACGAGGTCAGGAGATCGAGACCATGCTGGCTAACACGGTGAAACTCCGTCTCTACTAAAAATACAAAAAACTAGCCGGGCGAGGTGGCGGGTGCCTGTAGTCCCAGCTACTCGGGAGGCTGAGGCAGGAGAATGGCGTAAACCTGGGAGGCAGAGCTTGCAGTGAGCTGAGATCTGGCCACTGCACTCCAGTCTGGGCGACCGAGCGAGACTCCGTCTCAAAAAAAAAAAAAAAAAAGAAACGTAATAGATAGGCCAAGGACAATTAGGGTATCATGCCAAAACACTTGAATTAAAGCTGAAAAGTTCTTTTTAACTGAAACTTTTCTTGGCCTTAAATACACAGATGATCATTATGATCCTTTTAAGAGGGATGTGTAGTGATTTCTCAGATATGTTTAGACATGGAACATATTTTGGAGACCTGTTAATCACCTCTGGAACAATGTTTTAAGGGATGCCAGTTTAGGAAGTGTCTGGTTAAAATAGCTGATAATGAGGTCAGGTGCCGTGACTCACGCCTGTAATTCCAGCACTTTGGGAGGCCAAGGTGGTGGATCACTTGAGCCCAAGAGTTCGAGACCAGCCTGGACAACATGTTGAAACACCATCTCTATAAAAAATTAGCTGGGTGTGGTGGTGCATGACTGTAGTCCCAGGTACTTGGAATTGAATCATCTTTTGAATGCCATTATGTGAAAGAAGCAGGTTCTCTGTGGCCAGAAGGTGAAAATCAGGATTGATATGTGAAAGTTACCAGGAAAGAGATTATGATACATTATAAGAAATAACTTTCTTAAATAGTTATTCAAAGTTTAGTTGCTCTAGAGGATGAGTTCTTTGTAAGAAT